ATAAGCAAAGTAACTGCATTATTTAATTTCTGCAGTGCATACTGATGTATAAAAGACATTTAAATACTAGTAATAAATGACCTTATAACACCAAATTCTTAATCTTTAACTCTTTCGACACAGGTTCGGTCCCTGGGACGGACCTCATAACCTCAGAAGCCTTTTGCACACAAAAAATTAGATTTTTTAATGAAGTATTTTTACTTATATTTGTCTGTGAAAATATAATTTTTTTTTTTAACTAGTCTGAGTACAAAGTGATTTTCATTTTAAAATTTAAAATACTTTTTTTTCTTTAAAAAATCTCGAATTTCTTTTGCACAACCTCTGAAATCTCCTAAATACATATATATATACATACACCTCTTTTTTCAATAAAACGTTATATTTTACCTGTTATTATATTTATTATTAGATTCTTCAGCCTGTAGACAACTTATTGAAGTAGAATGAAAAGAAAAATTGTAAAATCAGCAATATAATGAGCAGCTGTTTCCTTTTTCTTCATTATTGATCATGAAGTTTCAAAGTTCTTACCCTGACAGTTTGAACTGCTAAACATATCCCGTATATTTTCTGTGTTTATTTTACAGTCACCAACAAATTACAAACCCACTAACAAAAAAGCAATAAATCACCGCCCATGTTATAAGACTGTTTACGTACAACTGTAATACAAAACTCTCGGGCACACTCTTATAAATTATATTACCCTCTCTCATTTTCACCACACTTATTTGCCAACCAATAGAAACTGAGGTTGCACTACCATCTACTACACCATTTTAGATTTGGTTTAGAAAGTCTCCTTTCTCAAGTATTTTGCATTCTTCAAATTGGCGATCGGAGTGTGCAAAACGATTTTGGTAGTTACTTCAAAGTAAGTAATCATAATTTTTAGTACATATACATCTGTTCAATAATTTCGTTATACATTAGTTGATAAAATCCAGTGTAGTTGTTTCTGTGTATTAAAACATCATGTACTCCTTCTGAAATCTGTGATACACATTACAGAATATATTGTAACATATGTTTTTTCTTTTCTTTTCCAGTAAACAGCTTGGTTCAGGGTTCATTTTCACTATTCTTGGGTAGTTACTTCAAAGTAAGTAATCATAATTTTTAGTACATATATACATCTGTTCAATAATTTCATTATATATTAGTTGATAAAATCCAGTGTAGTTGTTTCTGTATAATAGATTATCGTGTACTTCTTCTGACATCTATGATACACATCACACTCACAGATTACATATATACACATGTAAAACAAATATACACATCAGAGAATACACTATGTATATATAATATATATATGTAATAATACACAACAGAGGATACATGTAATATACATTTAATGTTGTTTTTTCTTCTAGAAATGAACACATTAAAAAATAAAGCAAAAGAGCTGAGGAAAAAAAAAACTCAGTGAAGAAGAAGAAGAAGAGATACAGTTTCTTCTAAATGTGTACTTCTCATCTGATGAAGAAGGCATTCTGTCAGAGGAGTCTGATATTGATGAAGTTTCAGCTAATGTGTTAATACCTCTGACAGAATCTATCTATAAAACCAGATGGCAACCAAATCTAAAGCCAGCTCTTCTTGATTCTATCTTACGGACAGATCAGGAAATAGTTGGTGAAAGATCTTCATCAGATGAGGATGTGGAATCACCCAGGCCAGGTACATTAAGGCAACCTACACCACCACCACAGAGAAGAGGGGTAGAGCTACAGTATCTACTAAGACTGCTCCTTCCCAGCAGGAGAGGCCTCTCACCTGCAGTGACACTTGGACCTTGGTGCAAATCACCAAAGGAGAAGAACCTACCCATGTACTTCTGTTCAGTAGAAGCGAACCTGTGTCCCGACAGGTAACCTCTACTAATACAACTGTCGATTTGTTTAAACCTCCGTTTACATTTGAAACTTTAAATGTTATTGTTAGTAAAACAAATCATTATGCAAAATCTAAACAGCCACAACTGGAAGGTGAACCCCTGAAGAAGAAAACTATAAGATGGGCAAATGTTACCCATGAAGACATTTTGGTATATATTGGAGTAACAACAGGCATGGGACTCAAGCCCTCTCCTTTTTCTGACTAGTGGTCTACTTATCTTCCTTTCCATAATCCTTGGTTTACTAACATCTTCTCTAGAGACAGGTTTTTAGCCATCCATACTAACTTACACTTCAATAACAACACTAATGCTCTTTTTAGAACTGACCCTAATTATGACAAACTTTGTAAGGTTAGACCTGTCATAAAATCTTTTGCTTTACACTACTCTCCTAACAAGGAACTAATCATTGACGAACAGATGTTGGGCACAAAATGTCGAATTGATTTTCTTCAGTACATGCCCAATAAACCTGTCAAGTGGGGTATCAAGTTATGGGTCCTGTCAGAAATGTAAAA